CTCTAATATTTGTACATTTTACTAGTAAAAGGAGAAAAAAAAAAGCAGTGACTCCACTAACCAGACGCTGCTCTCTTCAGTATCCCGTCAATGGCATCAGAGTCAACAAGCCCAGCAGCCAACCAGCTGTCACCAATGGCAACACTGTTCTCATCGAGTCAGATGCCCATGTAAGCTAACGTCTTCTGTGTTTGCTGTGGCTTTTATGATCCGATTATCCATCAGTTTAATATGTATGAACCATGGGAAATGACAGAAGCCTTTTTCAGCTGAGCAGTTTTGAATGCATTCAAATTTGTGTAAACAACATTCATAGTAAAAATGTCTGGCTCTTTAGCCTACTGCCTGCTGTTCTAAAGAAAATGGTGCGAGGCTCTCTGAAGCTCATAACAAAGCCTTCCCCACACACGCAGCACAGCACAAGGGCTCACTTACATTCAGACTAATAGCTCACACACTGCCTGCACATACAATATTGTATTTCAACCAAGGAAGAAGTGTCAGAGCAGGGAGGGACTGCGTATGTATTGTGGCTATCCATAGCCAGTGATCTGTATGTGTGGTATGTATTAAACCTAGCGTCAATTTACGCTGCCCTCCATTCTTGGTGGTGTCTGATTATACAGCAATGTAAAGTGCATTGTTTGTCTGGGGAAAGTATTTTGTTCACCTAAAGGACAGCCATGAGACAAAAGATTATCTCTGCACTGTTTAACATACTTCTTGTCTAAATGCTTTTGTTACCTCAGGGTAGACCAAACAACCTGTTTAAACATGTAGCAAATGGCCTTCTTGCAGTCTCTTTTATCAGTTTGTTAGCACCTGCCTTGCCCTCAGGTTCAAGTAAATTGCCAGCTTTAGCCTAATTGAGCATGTCACTCTGTGTCTGCCTGCACGCTCAGGTCGAGGATAATCAGGAGGAGAGTGTGAGGCTCAGGGAGGCCAGCAAGCGTCTGTATGCGCAGCTGAAGGAAATGGAGAAGAGGCATCAGGAGGAGAGGGAGAAACTGCAGGTCTGTAACCCGAGATGAGTAACATGACACGATTTCCTGTCTGCAGCTATGACTCACTCCGCTGCTACTCTCTTGTTCCTTTAATCATCCTCATTATCTGCCATACTTATCTTTGGATTTTATCCTTCATCCTGTGATCCTCCGCTGTTTGGGTCTTTGCTCCACAGTGCATTCATCTGCCAGGTCATGTGGGGACACTGCACACAGACTTTTACCATAGGCTGATCTGTCATGTACTGTCCCTATGGTCATGTACTTAAACCTTCTTTACTGTGTTAGTGGCACCAACACAATTATACTGATACATAATGGCCAAAACTAAACTATGTATACATACATTATGTAATTTCTGCTGCTAGGGGTCTCACACAACAAAATAATAACAAAAGACATATTTTGATGACGTTGTGAAGTAATGAAAATCTATCTGACATGACTCAGGCAGGAAAAAAAAAATCACAGATGAGGTAATATATTACAGTTTTATTCACATTGCATTTAGTTACGTTAGCCAACTTCCTCCCTCCCTTTCTGATGGATCCCCGGACGCGTTTCCACCAAAATAACAGCAACTATGAGGGCAAAGGACATAGGATGCTGCTGATGGGCAACCAGATGAAACACTTCGTTACCTTGAATAAGAATTATGTATTTTAGTTGTTTTTAGACATTTTATTGTGGTAATGTTAGATATTATACCTTTATAATAAGAGCCAAGTTGTAATACACCTGACTGCTGTAAGCCACCTACACTGTTTTCATTTTTGTTGTCTGATTAGACCTCTTCTCAGGACAGTGTGGGCATGTTCAGATTGCACTTGACTGACAGCTACCACATCCTTCTGTTGGTTTTGTTGTACCTATTAAGGTGGGACAGTGTAGCAGCATAGCCCCAAACAACTTCAACCTCAGCAGAGTTTCGAAAACACCTGCAGAGCCTTTAATAGTGTATACATCATGCATACTTATCCTACATAAATCTTACTCTGTGGCTCTTCTCACAGGCTGAGTCAAATGCATATTTCCTTCGTCTGGCTGACCAGTCTGAGCAGCTACAGAAGGCTGAGGAGAAGTCAGAGGAGAGGGGCCAGAAGGTGGAGGAGCTGCAGAGGCTGTTGGGAAGCATGGAGATTGAGAGCGGCATCCTCAAAGACAAGATGGCGGCACAGGAGGCAGAGCTGCAGCAGCTTAAAGCAGATAGGGAGGAAGAGCAGAAGGAGAAGAGGTGAGATGAGAAACAAAGTGATGTGCCAAAGTACAAGAAATCAATTGCACAAATAAGACGTTGTAAGTTTTTGTTTGTTGGTTTGTTTTTTAACAAGCAAAGTCATCAGGAAATCTGAAAATGCTGTACCCAAAAATGTTATTTGTTTCACTTAATTGGACACCTTGCAAATATAGTTGAATCCATCCACTTTTCCTTCAATAAGAGGGAATAGATCCCCAAGTATCTTAGTTAGTTAGTTAGTTTGATTACCTAATTAACAAATTCCTTCCTAGGATGTAAAATACAAATTATACAAATAACATGGCCTCCTCTAGTCAAAATTACAAAACTTGTTCAGTAGTTTTCTTAGTGCATGGTTTATACTCGATACACATCAAATTGTTATTAGTTTGACAGTTTTTTTCTCATATATTTGTGTGTTCACAGGCGTGCAGAGCTGGAGAGGGAGGTGGCCGTCCTGAAGGAAAAGATTCATCACCTTGACGACATGTTAAAGAGTCAGCAGAGGAAAGTCCGCCACATGATCGAACAGGTATTTCTACACACAAGCAGATTGACCAGTAGTGCAAGGTGCACACAGACAACCACACACTCACACATGCAGGTACAGAATGCAAATGAGCTCTCCAGTGCCCACAAATGCACAGGAAGCCATTAATGACGAAATTAGATTCTTGAGGAGGCAGACACGTAAAGCATAATTGATATGAGGGAGTGGAGCCAAGAGGAAACGTGTGGGGAAACTAAACTCGCTTGTCATGAATAAGTGATGGTGCATCTGCTCCTGTTGGAAAAGTGAGCTGTGTTTCTCCTGAGCGTCTCACATTGTTTGTTTGTGTTTGTTTTGTCAATAATATAGCTGCAGAACTCCCGCACGGTCATCCAAGAGAGAGATCGAGTCATCATGGATCTGGAGGAGAAGGTGGCTTTCCTGGAAGCTGAGGTCAGGAGCTTCATATAACTGCACTTAGAATCTGAATGAATCCACTAAAGGCTTGGTCATACTTAGTTATATTATTGCTGTGAATAAATTTTCTTCTGACATTTTATAAATGTTATTCTAGGTGTCCTTTCTTTGCTAAAGCTAAAAGCACCACACTCCAAGCTCAAAAGTTTTGTGAGAGAAACACACAAAGACACAATTAAATGTCTTTAACGCCTTTTTGTCTGCAGAACAGAGAAATGCATGACCACATGGAGTACTTCCTGGCAGGCCAGGACCCTCTGTCCCTGACGTCCACTGAGAACAAGCCAGAGATTGTTTACAGGTAAGTTCATTTCTGTGTTTAATTTGATTTTCTTAATCACAGTATAATGGTGATTTCATATTAGTACTGGTCTGCCTACCAGTCATGCTATAATCAAAAGCACAACCTAATAACATTATTTTGTATTTTTATTTCCCTCTGTCCACAGTAAACCACTCACACCGTCAACACAGAGCAACAAGGCCCTCCCATTCATCAAAGTCATTGAGACCAAGTCCTGAATGGAGTGTCAGCCAAAGGAATGAATACAGTGTACATATATATATATATATATTTTTTTAACCACCTACCAGTGTATTAAACATAGGTCTGCAGTGATTTTAAAAAAAATGGTTTAACAGACCTAATGGTAACAAAGCACATTGTTAGTACCTCATAGTTACTTTTGAGGCTGTTCTGAATACCTTTACTGGCGTCCTCAGTGTCAAACAGAATCTAAAAAAAGGAAAGTTAAGGGGAGTGCCAAGTTGGATCCAGTGGTAAGGGGAATCCTAAAAAGCAAACAAGGAAGCTGTACTGTGGAAATTATTTTATTGAACTTCTCAGATGTACATAAATCTGAGCAGGATGCGCTTTGTCAGCAAGTCTTGGCAGTAGGAAAGAGTTCAGCAAACTTCCAAGGTGTTCCCACCTCCACTTCTCTCCCACTTTAGAATCTGAAATAAGCTGTGTCAACAGGTCAATGTAAACTGTGGGTCCGGATTAAATACTGTTCTGTTACTATTGTAAATGTCTTTGTTATACATTCAGTTCAACTGTGATTTCAGCACATCTTCATCCTATGGCCTGCTTTGCCACAATCCTAAGCAGCAGCAGGGTTTGGGGGTCAGATTCTTCAGTGTTTTGCACCACTTTGCCAATGGCAGGAATGCAGCTGGTTATGTCAATGTTGAAATATGATTTATGTTTCACTTAAAAAAGTTGCTCTGACATTAGAGCGGGTTGAATATAATAAGTGATTATTCTATTTTATATATTAGACTTCTGACCTTATTTGTTTTACTGAAGCTGGAGAATACCGCTGATATCAACATTTAACAATTCTCATCTACGCTGCCAAGTTCTGCCTCAACACCCTTATTATATATATTCTGTTTTGTACTGAAAGGTGGCATATTTAATAACAATAACTCTGATTTGACTGACAAACTTGCTTCCTTATATATTTATGCATTGTTTGTACGGACTTGGCAGATTTTTTTCTGTAAAAAAAACTTTGTTGCAATCTAGGATGAACATTTTTTTATAAATCTTATTAATTGACAAACAATTCACTGTGAACATTGTAGATGGATTAATTTAATTTCATTGTCTGTGTCCCTTTATTTGTAGATGTTGTCAAATAGAATGTAATACCTGGTTTATCAGATTCATTTGTTGTAGCTGTTACTTATGAAGTTTTACAAGCCTAATTTTTATTATCTCTGTCTTTACTTAATAACCTTGTACTGCCACCTATTGGACATATTAAAGACACAAGATATGAAGAAGTGGGTTGAAGGCTTTTATCAAACCACAGAAGTTTACAGCCTTACATAAATACAAATCAAACAACATGACTTAAATAAGGTATGAATGTTCATATAAATATCTTACATCTGTACAAAAAACACTGCACAGTAAATAGAAAGGTACACTAAAGATTTACATTTGGACTTTTGAGAAAAAGTAAAAATGAATCCAGGTGATTTGCAACAGATCTTGCTGGGTTTTTTTTACAAAAATGAAAATGACAACCTTGCCAGGTTGGCTACAATCACATTTGTCCTCTGAACACGCTCATTAGGTCCAAAATAAGAATAAAGGCCTTGGTGTAGCACATACACATGTAAATAATGGCCTTACCATAATAAATGAAAAAATCTTGTGATAGCAAGATTTTAACTATTGTTATAAAATTAGACATTTCTTTGTCTACATAACTCTTTTCAAATACTTGAAAAATATCATGTATGGAAATGCTCACATTAGACATTGTCCTATCTGAATGTACTGTAAGGAGAAGATGTGTGTTTCAAGCTCAACTTGAAACGCACATACACACATGCTCAACACACCATACAAACATTTTCAGCCTGTAACAGCAGTCTCTCTCACAGAGTGCTCTCCAGTGTGTTGTAGTTGTCTTTGAAACTTTTAAGCTCCAGAAAGTGTTTGGGCCTCTTGCTGCGCTGGCCAGTGGAGGGCAGGTAGGTGACCTGGATGGTGGAGGGAGTGCCCCGGACAGGAGAGCCTGTCAGGTCTTTGGCTGCGGACTGGTGCTGCTGGTCCAGGCTGGTGGTGCTGGAATAGGCCTTCACCCTGGAAGGAGTGGCAGAGAAAGGGGGCGTTACACTAACTACTTGGATATTAGTAATGAAATAGCAGCAATAACATTAGTAGTAATAACAGATCATGAGCTCAAAACAAGATTAGTGTAAGTAGGTGCATCTGTAGGAATACAACTGCATACCTACACCATATAATGTGTGATTGTGCTTATAATAAAATAACATGTGGGCTATTAAACTGTAGGATTCATATTTACATGTACTTTTGATGAGAAAAACTAAACTCCAATCAACCATTATGTTTGAACATCATCAAAGCCAGACTTGCTATGTTAAATGATTTGTCTAAATCTTTACACCATTTTTCATTGTAGCATGCACTTGCCCTGTCATGTGACCAATGCAGCCTGGAACAATTGTTCCAACAGTGTCATAACAATTGCAAATCTGGTCCACGATTTCAGCACTTACACATCAGCTAGTTCGTTGAGAGCTTGCTGGTATTCAAGAAACTCAGCTTCCCCAAACACCTGAAACAAAGAATTAGAAGTAAAATCAGTAGCACCACAACACATTTCTTAAGCCTATGATATTCTGTCCTCTTTTCTTCACCCATCAGTCAGACACAAAAACATTATTGAGCACCCCAGTCCCATGGCGAGCGCTGTCATAGCCTTCAAGCAAACGGTCGATGAGCGCGCTGCGGCTGCTCTTGATCAGAGAGTGGGAATTGCGCAACTCCAGCAGCCAGCTCCTGAAGTTGCGTCCTGTAAACGCACTGGGACTGCAGCTTATCTCCTGCAGAGGAACACCTGAGGTCCCAACAGGAAGGAAAGTGAAGGTGAGAAGAGATTAAACTTTAATACTCCCCCATGGGAAAGATGGGTCAATGCCAAAAACATGATTTGGTAAACTCATAGAAAATAATATATAATTACAATAAGATAACAAAACACATCATTTTTGCATATTATGACGCTGAAGTTACCTTCTGACTCACCGCTCCCAATTTGACAAATCTGAAACTGTGTTGTGAAGAAACTTTAGGCTCTCTGGGACATTCTAGTCCAGATTTGACAGCTCTGGTCATAGTGGTTTTTGATCTGGAATTGAGTTGAGTCACTCAACTTTCCCCTTAACTGCAGAATCGGAAGCTTACTTCAGCGTTGTTTGCATATTAATAGAGGTAAAAGAGTAGAAGTGAATTTGTGAGTAATGGACTCAGTTCTGTGATGATATGGAGAATAATGCATCCAACTGCAGAATCAATATGTTTAATATGTAAAATGTGCCTTTCACCTGAGTCTCGGATGGCATCCAGGGCTTTCATTCTGTACAGGTAATTGTAGCAACCTTTGAAATACAAACAGATTTTTGTTACATAAAGCAAAAAAAGCACAATATGCACGTCAAAGAGATTCAGGTGGCAACAAGATGAGCTAATACATTGACTGACTAATCTGTGATCCTTGCTTCAGCCTGTCGTCTTCTTCAGATAGGAGACGAGGTTCGAAACGGATCTCCTGGACCTTGGACAGCCTGGAGTCTATGTCCTCCCTCAAACCCTGTATATGAATTCGTGAAGGAAATAAACAGACTCATGAACTCTTGCACCAACAGCAGCTGCTGCATATTCAACTAGGCTTTGACAGCACAACAGGTAACGTTAAGAGCTCATAAAAGAGGAGATCTACTTTACCTTAGGTGCATTGTGGCCAATCGGTGCATGGGGTCCTCTGCGGGATCTCATCGCGAAACGCATGATTTGCCTTTTGACGAAGATGAACAGCAGCACAAACACCTACACAAAAAACCCCAGAGGTGTCAGGACAGGATTTTACATTCAAAGCACCATCACATGAGCGCATACCAGCTAGCAACCAAGTCTGTAACTTACCAAACTTCCATAAGCCATAACCAGGACAACATTAACACCTGACAGCGGCGACGACTCTGCCATGTTATTTGTCAGTGTGTACAGTTTATCCACAGGTCGATTAGCTAGCAAGGAATGAATCTAAACGTCGTGTTGCTATATTAGCCTGGTAGCTGACAGGCAGTTGTCCATTTTTAAAAAAATGGCCACTGCAGCACAGAACGAGAAATTGTTTATTTCGTTGCAGCTTTGAACTGTCGTTTCTAGAAATAAAAATAAACTATACAGTGAACGCCCTGGTTCTCCTTCTCCTCACGACATCATGCAATAAGTACGTAGTTTAGCTTGGTCGGTACATGCTAGCCGAAGGGGCGACAGCGACAGTTGATTTGCGGCGCCCCACATTACCGTAATAACTGTGTAGCACCTGTCTGGCCAAACAACCTACCCGTCGTTTAATTTACATTTTGTACAATTTAAAAATGTTAGGCTTTGTTTAACGCCAAGATTTCACAAGACTGCTGATCTCCTACAGCCTTCTACTTTCTGTTTTGTATTTTACCGTGTATATTTTGTACAAAATTAGATACATTAAGGATAAATTAATTGGCCTAACTGTTGTGCATTGACACAACCATATAACTGCACCTTGTTCTGGATTATATTACATTATTATGATTTTAATACTAGAGGTAGTATTAGTATAACACTATATTATAAAGAATTACCAGTTTGGTTGCATTTTGTATTATATACTACATCACAATATTTCTATTATATATGCATTATACATATTATTATATCATTATTAGTGAGTGTACATGCATAATATATTGCATATATTAAACTTCCTTATATAGGGGAGAGCTTAGTGAGTTGAGCCAGTTTTTACTTGCAGTGTCTTTAAAGTGAGAACATGACGTAATGTCTCCAACTAAAATATATATATATATATTTCAGGATGTGGTGCATTCCTGGGAATAATGCATTTGGATCTAAAATAAACTGTTTTCAAAATATGGCTTTCCAAAAAAAGTGGACTCTTGGCTCAACTTGCCCCATATGAGGGGTAAGTTGAGCCAAGGGAGAGGATAAGTTGAGCCACATGAGGGCTGGGGACATCAATGTCATTTCATTGTGCCAGGTCCCAACATTTAATTGCACTTGAAACATTGCAGCTGTGTCTCCTAGTGGTTTCATAACAATGTATCACTTTAAAGTCATCCTGTTTATAGACATGTCCCGTGCCACCTGATGAATGGACTTCCCATTTTTGTAACTCTCCCACTACTCTGTCAAAGCCACAATAGGAGTTAAAGCCTGTCTGTGTTCAATTTATAGAAGAATGACATGATTGTTTCTTGTCTAAAATGCATAAGGTCACATCATTTCGGTGATGCATAAGAATGCAATGTAAAATTACAGTAAAATATCTTGCCCCACTTCCCCCAAGTCTTTTGGCTCAAATGACCCCATCCTTGCCATTTTAACAAATATGTGTCATCCAGCTGTTTAAGGGTAATGTCATGCTAATGGTATAGCCTGATATTGTAACTGCCTAAAGCACTAACACATGCTTAAGATTTTCTCAAACCTGTCTGTAATTGTTCAGGACTCCTTGAACATAAAAATAATCACTTTTAACAGCAAAATCCAGTTGTTGTTTTTTTATCTTAAATGTGCCTATCACTTATTCCATGGGCCTCTCTTCATCACAGGGTGAGTAAAATGGATGACTCTTCAAAAATGTGTGGTCACATGACCAATTTTTTTCTATGGTTGCAGAGAGAGAAACAAGGGGTGGCTCAACTTCCCCACAGGCTCAAATCACCCCGCTCTCCCCTACTTAAATATACTTTGATGTTTCCACCAATAGGAACCTTATCTTAATCTCTGTATAAGGATTGCACAATGCTTTGCACAATCTAAAGTATTTTATACAGGTATTGTAATGGACTGTATTTGATGTATTATGTACAGCTTTTTATAATAATTTATACACAATTTATTTTATTTTGTTATCTTCTTCGTTTTTTCATCTGTTTTTTAACCTCTTAATATTGTCTTGTTTTGCTGAAACATGTGAGACCTGACCCTATATCCATACTGACAAGTTCATGGCTGCAACACTCGTGTTTACTGTTATGTTATACATGGGTTTTTTTTTATAAGATCATTGCAAACCCCCTCATCCCTCTGTTTGCCGAACTTTATTGTCTGTATTGTGCATCCTCACCACTGACAAGCCATAACTACGTTGATGATATAAAAGTACTTCAGTGTGTGATCACATGTTGTGGGTTGTGTTTCCTCGAAGCGCTGTGTAACCCACGTGACGCAGCTCTCAGTGGTGTCAGAGTGGAAAAGAAACAGGTAAATTCAGTCTCTCGCTTATTGTGTGAGCGAGTCGGTTCGTTATATTTTCCCAACTTAGTAGTATCAATTTAGGGTTCAGGAATCATATCCTGTCCTAAATCCGACTAGAAGGTCGACAACGAGACCACTTGTCGGTCGGTTGTGTAGCAGTGGCTAAATATTGAGCCGGGTTTCTGGTCAGTATCGCCTGTTATTTATTTTCATTTTAGGGGCCTGCAGGCCTACCTTTAGCCTCGGTGATGTCTATGTCGTGAGCCCGGCCATCAGATATTACTGGGGCCAGAATGGTTTTGAGTGGTGGTGCAGTTTATAAAGCTGCTGCTTTGCTAACGTAGTTAACTGGCTAATGTTGCCTAGCTATGCGGAGCGGCGCTAGTTCATTAAGTTAACATGGCTAACTACCGTTAGCAGATAGCTATGGTAACGAGTGGCATGGGCGTTTTAGGTTTGGTCGATCGGGGAAGCGTCACTGTTAGCTAGTAGCTGATTAGCTTAGTTAACTTGTTGGCTATCAAGCGAAGTCAACACTGTGTGTAACCAGTTGTCGGCATTCGGTTATCTTGTTAGCTAGCGGCTGTTAAAGTTAGCCTCGTTGTCGCCATGAGGCGAGAAGCGGAAGCCCACCGAGACTTCAACGCTGGATGCTTTCCCCTCAACTATTAGCTAGTTGGCTAGCATTTTGGCCATGTGGCTGGCTAGTGGAATTGGATATGTTCGACGGGCCCTGGCTTTAGGCTTGTTTGTGGGCTAGTCTAAACAGGGTTTTGCGTAACGTTTGCAAGATTAAAGATTCGTGCGATAGCAAACAGAGGTGTCGTTAGCTGTCTTGCGTATGTTTGTATCTTGTCTCTCATTTGATGCTCTTGCATACAGTGTAGATCTATTTATCGTAGGCTTTGTGATCATATACTGTCGTTTTATAATGTAGGTTAACTGAACACCATCAAGGCTATTTTGGTATGGACAACGTTGCATAATGTTCTGAGGAGGTAGTGTTTAATATTTTGGCTAACGTTTTGCACTTGAAGACTTGAATGCAGAAGCACCCAGTGCACCGTGGCACTCTTGCTTCCCGAGTCAAACCCTCGGCTAGCTTTGGTTTTAGACCTTGCCCAAGAAAGCGGCTGAAAAAAACCCTTTGTCAACGTCTTCTCAAAGCTGATGGTGCCTTCTTGGTACCGCAGCTGGTTTCCCCCACTAGGCAATAAGCTACCAGGCAGTTTGAGGAAGTAGTATTAAAGTGTAACGTTACTAAACATGTACATGACATAAGTAGGTCATATTCACAGCTCTGTAACGCACCTCTCAACGTTATCTCCACAGGTGTTATTCCTTTGTAAATACTGTTATTTGTATATACTGTAAATGATGACGTCCATGGGCGGGAACCGAGCCCGGGGCAGCTGGGAGCAGACACAGGGGCAAACACAGAGCCAGACACAGCACAAGCAAAGGCCTCAGGTACCCTCAGTCTCACCACCTGTCATACTGTCCAGATGCACAGTGATTTGCACCAGGGTTTAATGTAGGCAAATCGAGTATCACTTAGTTTTGTTACAAAACTATATAGTATACACGCCAACAATCAGGATAGTGTTATTCACAGTGTGCATGCTTTGTAAGAGGTTGTGAAAAATGATGCTAGCTATTACATAGCCTTTTGATAAGTCAGAAATGCACTACAGGATAATCAGGACTGTTGAGATCTTATTCTGACAATCGAGTGGGGAATCCCTGATTATAGGCAGTAGGACTTACAGCAGCTTAGTCTGAACAACATGTAGTCGCTGGTCTAAGTTGACCAGCTAACATCACGCAATTTTGTAGTTCATGGTGTAGTGTTTCAGCAGGTCTTAAAGCATGTGTGATAAATGATTGTAGTGTCTAACAAGACCCCTAGTAGCCAGTGTTTTAAAATATCCAATAAGTTCAAGGTTAAAAGTAGATTCCCCTTCCATATGCAGTGCTAACTGTGCTGGGGAACAAAATTATCTTCCTACAGTGCTATGGTGTACACATGAAGAACAGAAACTATATAAACAGAGCATAAAGTACAAAGACTGTAGAGCAGAAGTACTATTTAGTTGGGAAGCCTCAAGGGGAGGCAGCATCTGTGCGCAACATCATGACAAAATAGCAAAATAAAGTGTTTTCACAGCATAATGTCACACTGTAACCGTAGTAATTGTTGAACTTCATTAGTTATTAATTACTTAAGAGCTAGACCTATATATATTTTTTTAAATGGCTTAATGAGTTTGTCCGTACTGTTTTTACAAGAATGCAAATCTTGTGCTTCTGTTTGTTTGCAAATATTGGATGTTTCACTTGTCTTGGAACAGGCCACTGCAGAGCAGATCCGACTTGCGCAGATGATTTCAGACCACAATGATGCAGACTTTGAAGAGAAGGTCAAACAGGTGAGCAGATCCCTTTGTCCTACTTAGTTTTTCCTGCATATTTACAGTTAAGTACTTTTTAGCACGGATATATAGTATTGTCTGTTTTTTTGCATTGGATGTGTCCCTCAATATTATGCTTTGCAGATATAGTTTGTCATCGTTTGTCACATGAGTCTCAAGAAAGGCCTCATTTGAAATTTACGTTATATCTATAGCCTTAAAGTTTGTTAATTAGCTATGGTAATGATAAAATGCTTTAACTGTGGGTTGTTGTTTTTTTAAGGCAAACTCTCAATTTCCCCCTTAGTTAAGAGAAAGGGGCCAAGTTTCCTCCTCTTGAACTTGTGTTAATAGGTTAAAAATCTGTTGTGCCATCCTGGATATTATTAGCTTCTGTAACAAAATAAATCTCAGCAGTTTCTTATTGTTGACAAAGTAGTGAACTGCTCTGGCTCAACTCTATCATATATTTGATGTGTGCACTCAAGCCAGATAGCCTTTTTATCCTACCCATGTAGCTTTAAATTTCTTTTCAATGTTGTTACACAGAATTTAGTTTAGGATTAAGTCAAAGTTGAAATAAAGACTTTATAAAATGTCTTCCAAGGT